CACTTTACCTATTTTTTCAACCAGTGCCACGCCTGCGAAGTCGAATAGGGTGGTTTGTGTACTAGACATGTTTTCTAGTCTCTGTATTTGATGTTTGGACATCTGGGGCCTTACTGATCCTGAGGGACTGCCCCTCCTAGGGCCGGGCAATTCCTAGAGGTGGCAACAACTCACCTGAGGCACACTTTTCTTTTTTTTTTTTTTTGAGTTGGAGTCTCACTCTGTCGCCCAGACTGGAGTGCAGTGGCCACTCCCGGCCACCACAGCCTCGGCCTGCTGGGCTCCGGCGATCCTTCCGCCTCAGCCTTCCGAGTAGCCGGAATTACAGGCATGCGCCACCACACCCAGATGATTTTTTGATTTACTGTCGAGATGAGGTCTCGCTGCCCAGGCGGGTCTCGAACCCGCAGGCTCAGGCAATTCACTCACCTCAGCCTCCCAAAGGCGCGGGATTACAGGCTGAGCCACCGAGCCTGGCTCTAGGCATACTTTTCATATGCAAACCAGCTAATCGCCTCCTTTGGGTTTTACATTCTGGAGCCCTATCGCTACAACCCAGGATAGGCCTCAAATTACTACGGACAACCGCCATACTCTAGGGTCCACTAGGCTTATTCGAACTCGCCAACTTTAGGATTGGCCTGCCTACCCTCTCTTGCCCAACCCTGCCCTTGGAAACCACAATAAAGGCTCTTGGCCATGCTTCCCCTGCTCCCTTTGCCTCCTGATTGACCCTGGTGCTTCCTTGTATGGCCCTGTCTGAAAGCCGTCCCTCCAGTTTTTAGGGATCTGTGTGTACACACACCTTCATCGTGGCCATTTCTGCAACTGTGAGTCTTTTTAAAAATTTTTTAATTTTTTTTTGAGTTGGAGTCTCACTCTGTCACCAGACTGGAGTGCAGTGGCCGCTCCCGGCCACCGCAGCCTCGACCTGCTGGGCTCCGGCGATCCTTCCGCCTCAGCCTTCCGAGTAGCCAGAATTATAGGCAGGCGCTACCAGGCCTGGCTGATTTTTTGATTTTTATTGTAGAGATGAGGTCTCGCTGCCCAGGCGGGTCTCGAACCCGCGGGCTCAGGCAATCCACTCACCTCAGCCTCCCAAAGGCACGGGATTACAGGCTGAGCCACCGAGCCCGGCTAACTGTGAGTCTTATTATGTTTGATTAAAACACATCTCAGGGGCCCTTAAGACAGCTTGGCCCATGGGCACAGGGCCTCTGATGTGCACAGGTACTGGCATCATGTACCAACAGAATGCCAGGGAGCAGGGGTGGGCCTGTGTTCTGCGTCTGGATGGTTCCTTTCAACACGGACGTCTGAAAGGTAGCAAGGCATTAGGGTGAAGGGTGTAGGCTCCCGGTTAGAAAGCCTGGGTGTGAATGTGGGTCCCCACCTCCCACCCACACATCTTGGATACCACCCTTTTATGGATCCGTTTCCTCCTCTGCAGTGATGGGAGGATGCCAATAGTGTCACCTCACAAAGTTGTTGTGAGTGTGAAATTAGTGTGAAGACTGAGCCCCAGGGCCTGGTTCTTAGAAAACACTCCTAAGGGGAGTTATTTTTAGTATCTCATTGTTCAACATTTATCTCATCATCCAACATTTACTGAGAAGTAAAGCTATGAAGTCAAATTTGAGTTATTTTTTTTCTATTACATTAAACCATATCTTATAGGTCAAAAGTGGTCAAATGTTGAGTTTCTTAGGTTTTAATCTTAGAAATTCATTTGTCTCTAGCATTTTTTGCTGTCTATTTTAATCCAAGTTAGAATTCTATTTCATGTGTTCCACAGTTACATTTTGAGACACTTGTCTCAAGAAAGCCCCTCTAACTTTGGTTAGTACAGCAGACTCTGGAAAGATACTGCATTCTTGGTTTTACATTTTCCACTTTCCATGCTGCGTGTTTATAGCAGTAACAGTTTAAAAAAAAAATCACACATAATTTCCACACATTCTTTCAGGCAAACAAACACTATCTCAACTTGAAGTGAAAATAAAGTCTTGTTAGCTAAAAACAAAAAATCCCAGGTATTCAGAATGAAGCCTGCCTGTTTCCTTGAAATACTCCAAGATGTGATAAATGACAGGATGCTTCAAAGTGACATTCGGCAGCATCTTAATGAGAGTTGTAGAAATGTAAATTCACAAAGGATACAACTGCTGCTCACCAGCCAATCACAGGTTGGTTCTTTTAATTAAGTGTGTGCACGGTTGTCATGGGGACAATTATGGGAGCAGAATCCCATGATTCCAGTCTTGGCACTCTGGGGCCAGAATGCCTTTGCCCACCTGGTCACTTCAGATATGCTGCTATCCCAGCAGCAGCCATTATAGTCAAAGAACTTGCATTAAGAAAATTGTGAGAAAATATACATAACATAAACTTGACCATCTTAACCATTTTAAAGTATACAGTTCAGTGGTATTAAGTTTACATTGTTGTGCAATCATCATCACCATCCCGCTCCAGGACTCCTTTCACCTTGCAAAAGTGAAACACTATGCCCATTAAATAACTCTCTATTTCTCCCTTTCTCCAGCCCCTGGCAACCACCGCTCTACTGTCTATGAATTTGACTAAACTTGGTACTTCATATAAGTAGAATCATACAGTATTTGTCCTTTGGCGGTTGGTTTATTTCACTTAGCATCATGCCCTCAAAGTTCTTCCATGTTGTGGCAAGAGTCAGGATTTCCTTCCTTTTTAAGGCAGAATAATATTCCACTGTATGTCTATACTACAGTCTCTGTGCATTCACTCATTGACGAACACTTGGATTGCGTCCACTTTTTAGCACCTGCAAATAATGAGGCTGCTGTGACCACACATTTGCAAATCTCATGTCAAGTCTCTGCAATTCTTTGGGTGCATACCTAGAAGTAGAATTGCTGGGTCATAGGGCAGTTCTATGTACACATATTAAGCAAATTACATTAACTCAATGATAAAGTCTGGAAGAAATGCCGTGATAGTCTCTATGGAATGGCACTTGGTATCACATTAGGCCAGTGCTTCTCAAAGTCCATGACCCTTGGAACCAGGACTCATCATCAGTCCTTTCCGACTGCATATTCCTGGGCCCTACCCTCAGATCTCCTGAACTGGAATCTTTAGAGCAAGGCCTGAGAACCTGCATTTTTTGAGTTGGAGTCTCACCCCGTCGCCCCGACTGGAGTGCAGTGGCATGCTCCCGGCCACTGCAGACTCGACCTGCTGGGCTCCGGCGATTCTTCCGCCTCAGCCTTCCAGATAGCTGGAACTATAGGCGCGTGCTACCACACCCAGCTAATTTTTGATTTATTGTAGAGATGAGGTCTTTCCAAGTTGCCCAGGCGGGTCTAGAACCTGCAGGCTCAGGCAATCCACTCACCTTGGCCTCCCAAAGCGCTGGGATTACAGGCTAGGCCACGGAACCCGGCAAGAACCTGCATTTTAATAAGCTGAACCACTGCACCAGGGTTGGCATGATGTTGGGCTTTCTACAAGGTCCCTCTTGAGTCACTTTCTTTAGTTGAGAAGCCCGAGATACCAGTGACTTCTCTGTGTGGTTCATTTTAATGTTTACCTTCATCTCATGAAGTTTGGGCAAGACTTTCAGATAAGCAGGGTGGGAAACAATCAGACTTGGTTCCATCTCGTTTTGCCCAGATTTAGGGGCCTACTTGGGAACGCAGACCTCCCACCACTTCCAACCCCTCAGACACCTTAGGGCCTAGATGGGTTGGTTCCCAGAAGGGCCTCCACGTTGGCCAGGAAACCCCCCTGCGCAGGCAGAGCTCTAACGCTGAACCTGAAAATCACTTTGGCAGAATGCTGTTTAGCATCTAGTGGGAGTCTGTTAAACAAAGTATGTATATGCATGCAAAAAACACACAACAAAAAATCATCTGAGGTTGAGGGAAAATTCCTAGTTAGCCTCAGCATTAGGACTTGGTGCCATTACTCTGGCTGGTTCTGGTATAAACTGGGACAGATCGGACAGGGTAATAGACCCACCACGATCCGGAGTGAAATAACAGTAACTAAGGCAGCAGAAGGCAGTGCTGTCACTGGTTGCTTTGGGGGCTCCCCCTCATTTCTGCAGCTCAGCTCTCTGTGTTTGTTTCCTCTGAAACTTTTCTCTTTTCCTCTTTCTTCCTTCCCCCACTCCCTGCCAACACTTTCTTCTATTTTTTCCCATCTTTGCTGTCTTATGAAATGCTAGCTCTTTCCGAGCGATTAGCTTTGTGTTGAGTTTTGAGTGGCACAGAAGACAAAAAGCAGCCTTCCTGTGCTTGACCCATAACCGGGTCAGCCTGGGATTCGGTTTCTGAATATCTGGCAGCCGGACTGCCTTCCCATGTGGCATGGGCCCAAAGGAAAAGTGAGTGTTTAAGTCTAGCTCAGAGTTGATGTGTCTGCAGCCAGAGTTGGGACAATTAGGTATCAGGGTGACTTCATAAAATAAGACTTCACCGCTGAGCTTATCCTGCTTGGTAATTCATCCAGAGCAGACTGCTGGCTCATTGCAAAATGGCACCTTTACTGTGCATTAGGGCCACAGTGAGCAGAAGAGCCGTGAGCCAGGCCTATTAAAATATGCTCACAACAGCAAAGAGGAGGATAAACATGTAGAAAGCAAGGTTACAGATCCGCAGGTCACAGTGAAGGCCGGTTTGGCGGAGTGTGTAGGCTGAGCCTGTTCTTTATTAACTGTAAGTTGTTTCTCACGGTACAGAATTATTTTATCAGCCTGAAAACAAGCAAGCAAACGAATCACACACATTGCAGTGGGACTGTTTGTGTGCACCGGCACAAACAGGTGTGGGAGTGTGTTCTTCTCGAATGGGAGACAGCATCGATGAGCAAAAAAATGCATCTTGGGAACGCAAAAATCCAAATGCAAACATGAAAAGCACACACCCTCCCTCCTCCTCCCTCGGTGATGCTCATAACCCCTCGTGCACATCTGCATGACAAAAGACTGTCACAATTATATGACAATTAAAGCTTACCATTGTTGTAAGAGCGAAAATTTCCTACAAATTTTATGTATTCATAAGTTGGAAATTCCTTTGGGTTCAAGCTGCCTCTGAGAAGATGGCAATAAAACTCTAAATCGTTGTCAGCTGGGCCGTTAAAGGAAGAAGAGAGAAAGGGAACGTGAGCATCGCACAGACTCTACCCTCAACGAGTAGCATCTTCGGGAACACTCTGAAGAGGTTGGGTCTACACATGGCCAGGATAGTTCTCTTGCTATGACTGACTTTGGGCCTGGTGTATAACCTTTGCAGCACAGGGCGGGGTTCTCCTTCCATAGCTCATAGATATTTTGCATTCCATACTTGGACCAAATTAGTCTTAATTTGCTCACAGATGTCTGTGGTTGGTGATGTCGGCATTGATTAGTTCCGGTTGTTTTCATATGGTATATTAAAATAAAGCTGCTCATATAGAGCTGCTCCCTTTAATTTAATCTTTTTGCTTTGCTTTGAAGTAAAATCAGATGTACGACAGGACAAATTATTCACGGAAAATGGACTAAGGCTTGAACAAATGCAGGCGTCTTTGCTACCTCGTGTGTTTGTATAGCTTCATTAAGCGACACGTGCATGGTTCAGTAGGTACCGAGGCCCACCTCTACTCAGGTTGCCAAATATTTTGATAAAACACTTTAAAATTCCATAAAAACACAAATGTCCATAAAAAAAAAAAACAAACAAAACAGATGACAGTCTCAGGGGGACAGAATTTGGATTTTTGACCTAATTATTCAGTTTTTAGTTGGTTTCTTGACACTATACAAATTTAGCATTATAGTGTCTTCCAAAATAAGCAGATTGCTCACTGGTTTTTGCAGTGTTTATTACTAAAAGACTTTCATGTAAAAAAATAAAAGGAATCTCTTGTCATATACGCAAAACAAGTTATTATTCTTAAGCTTTATGCTTTCAAATTTTCCACATAAAAGCTAAATGTCTTACGTATTCCAAATTCCAGTTTTAGCTTTAAACTTAAAATATACTCTAAGGATCTTGGAAATGTTCTGAGTCATGAGGAAAATTATTCTTAAAATTAGTCCTCCCTTCTTAATTCATTCTAACCTCCTTTGAAAAGTAAAACTCTTATCTTTACATCTTGTAAACCAGTAAAGTTAAACTTACATTTTAAGTATTCTGGGGAGGGGGGATCCGTCACAAGCATATGGGAAGAAAGCATTTTATAAACCTCTGAATGTTCTTGTTCTGGAAGGAAATTTAACAAATTCTGATCCATGACATCCGACTGAAAAAGAAAATAAAGAACAAAGGCACACCCTCAACAAAGGTGAAAAACAAAAGCAAGACTGAACGTTCATGACAATTCAGAACTGGTTTCGGAAATGGAAAGTTCAATATCTGATTTCCTCTCAGATACGACTCTCAGCTTATCACTCTGTAATCTTGAACTGAAACCTAAAAGGCTTTACTGGCCCAACTACGTATGTGCTGTTGTCCATGGCCCAGGGAAGAAGTAAGAGGGAGACAAACACACAAAGAGCCGAGTTCTTTTCTAGCTCGAGGAACCTGGTTTGCTGATACTCCTGTGTTCCGGCTGGGGCAGTGTGGACCAATCACTTGTTTAAATGGCTCCAAAGGGTGCATGGGGCTCCTTTCCTGACCTGTAGCCAGCAAAGGGCTGCCTGTTTACTTCCTAAAGGTCTCTAATCAATGGAGGCAGAGCTGTCCGATAAAACCGTCAGTGGTGATGGACATGGTCTGCGATCTGTGCTGTCCGTTACAGGAGCCACTGGCCACATGGCAGCTGAAATACGGCTCCTGGGAGTAAGCAATTTTATTTATAATTTTATTCCATTTAAATTTATAGCTCAACTTAAACCATACTGGATAGTGTAGGTAGGAGCTCACAGTGGAGAGAGGAGACAGGCATGTCTCTATCACTTCCTCAGTTTCCCTCAATACAGTCATCCACTCACACAGTTTCAAATACTCCCTGCATACACTTTCCAGTTTGGATATCCAGCCAACCCCCTCTCATGTATCCAGACTCGGCCCTTCCAACCACTGCTCAGATGTCCCCGGGGGACCACAGATGCACACATATCCCTGACATCAGTGTTCTTTTCTCCAGCTCTTGGGTTCTCATTTCCATGAATGGTATGGCCAGCCGGTCACTTGCCTGTTCCAGACACCCAGGTGGCGTCCTTGTCTCCCCTTCTTCTTGTCCTCACCCCCACACCCAACAATGTCCAAGTTCTGGCCATTTCTCCTCCCTCAAATTTTCTCTGCTCCATTCACTTTGAATTCTCCGGCTTCTGCTCTAGTCCAGCCCACTGTTTTCTCGTGTCTGGGGAATGATTTGGCCAAACTAGTCTTCCCACATCCACTTTGGTCTCTGTCCAATTTGTTTTCCACCATCAGCCAGAAGGAGCCTCTTAGCAGATTAAGTCACAACTGTCCCTTGGCTTCGGATGGCCCCAGGGACACAGCCTAAACCTCTTGACACACTTTTCAGGCTCTGCCCAACCTGGCCTCTACCCGCCCTCTGTTCCCACCATGCCTCTAACCCCTCTGACCTTCCTTTCTTCCAGTTGCCAGGTTTGCTCCTCTCCCTGGGCTTTCTTTCACCTGGCCATTCCCTCAGGATGGAACATTCTGTAGCTACCTTTGTGTTCAGCTAACCCTGATGCATCCTTCGGGTCCCGGCTTTAAGGTCATTTTCCCTGAGAAAGCACCAGGCAACAACCCCCTTCCCCACTGTTGATTTTAGGGCCCGGGAGGACACGGCTCTCTTGTGGTGTCATCACCATATGATCCTGGCGAGGCCGGTGACAGCCCCAGAATCGGCTTGAAAGCAGGCTCTGTTCCCCTCCAAGCTGCAATGGCCCCCACTGCAAGATGAGTAAGTTGTGAGGGTTCAATGAACTCATTTGTTTATGCTGCTGATAAAACAGCACATGGCAGACACTCAGTAAGTGCTGGGTATGATTAGGTACCAAATGACCTTTCACAGAATGACTACAAAGGCAACTGTGCTACGGTGACATTTTCCTCTTTACGTGTGACTTGTACACAGTGCCTCTCTCACTCGAACAGGAGCTCCAGGACCACAGGGCTGGTGCTTTGTCCACGGTCATATCCCTGATGTCCAGTCCCTGGCCTTCCATCAAAATGCACTGGCCAGCAAAAGAACGGTGTGGCCGGCATTATGAGAGAAGTTAAAACAAGGCACCCAGAGAACACTGAAGATGATGTGCTGAATCCAAAATGATGGGAAGTGGGAGGTCTCCCAGGCAATAATTCCCACAAGGAGGAACCCTTGAGGGAGATCTAGGGGACAAGGTGGTGTCTGCCAGGCAGCTGGGGTGGGGAGGGTGTTCCCGGCTGGAGCACCACAGCACACACAAAGGCATGGAGGTGGGACCCTTGACAGCATTGTGAGAAGGTAGGAATCTGGGAGGGCGAGAAGCCATGGAGAGAAGGCTGCAAAGGAAAGTAGGGCCCAGGTTATAAAGACCTCAGAGGAATTAGGACTCAATCCTATGCCAGGAAGAGCCATGGAGGGACCTTCCGGAAGCGAGGGGAAGAACTGCACTTGGATTTGATTTTATTTTTTGAGTCGGGTCTCACTCTGTTGCCCAGGCTGGAGTGCAGTGGTACGATCACAGCTCACCGCAGCCTTGACCTCTTGGGTTCAGGCGATGCTTCCGCCTCAGCCTCCTAAGTAGCTGGGACCACCGGCCGGAACCCACACGGCTAGCTATGTTGCCCAAGCTAGTCTCAAACAATCCTCCCACCTCAGCCTCCTAAAGTGCAGGGATTATAGCCGCGAGCTACCGCACTGCACGGCTGCACTTGTATTTTAAAGGGATCCTGCTTGTAGTCAGATTAAGGGAGGGAGCACCAGAAAGCCACGCAATGACGGTGAGAGTCTGAACAGTGGCAGGGACAAGGGATGGAGAGGAGTAGACACAGTCCAGGGCAACTCATCAGCCATGTCACCCAGTCAATACCCACGGAGGGTGGCTGCGTGCTGGCCACCGTCAGGCGCTAGGAGGAAGCCCGGGAGAATGAGCCCTTTCCCTCCTGCAGTCAGTGTTCTGGTGGGTGCACAGAGCTTGGTGGCCAGTCAGAGGATGGAAAAGGGAGAGGAAGCACTCAGTGTGGCTCCCAGGCTCTAGCTTGGACGTACTGGTCTCTGTCTCTGTGGACGAAGACGCTATCGGCACCCTTAGTAGCCTATGCCGGCATTTCTTATTCTGGCGTTCTCCAAGTTCCTTCTGATATTCTTGATTTTATTTTAAGCTCCTTCTCTCTAGTTTTTTTAGAAGATGACTAATGTTCACAGATGACAGTAGTCTTTCTTCTTAAAGATATTTCAGATACTCGAAAATGATAACTAAGTCACTCCCTGGCCTTTTCTTGGATGGCCGCCTGGCCTGGTCGCCCACGTGGGAGAGAGCTGGCAGGCCCGAGGGCTGCGGGGGCACCTCGGGCTATGGGTTCTGCACAGAATAAAGATGGATACTGGACAGAGGTGGGGTAGGTACAACACACAGGTGGTGTGAGGATGGTGACTGAATACACAGAAAGGGCTCAAGACCATGCCTGGCTCTTGTATGTTTCTATTAGTCTACTGCTATTATGCCATTTACACATGCTGACAGCTGACACAAAATCCTGGTCATTTGTAAAGTGTGCTCAGAGGAGAGAAAATCCCATCGATAGCCGAACTGTCCCTTGACCATTAAAAATAATAGCGATTACAGAGACAAGGGAGGGAACATACCAACTACAGCCATCTTCACAGCAGGGTCACATCGACACTCACCTATCAGAGGTGGGACGTTCTCTTTCCCAGCCTACTGACAGGCCCTTGGCTGCTTGTTCAAGGAGCTGGCTGTGTTTCGAGCGTCACCCTGCTGAATGTCTGACCAAATTCAAAACTGAGCCTGCTCCCTTGAAGAGCCCCAAGAGCCAATGAGGGACATGGGCAAGCATGTTCCTTCCTCCCTTGAGCCAGCAGCTCCAGTTCAATCGCACCTGGCAAAGTTACGGGCGCCTGTACAAAAAGCACACGGAGGCCGGCTGGCTGGGCTTCACGTGGGCTGGAGGGGCCGGCGGGGGAGGCACTCAGTCCCAGGATGTCCCTGAGGGGCCCCGGCGGTTCTAGCTGGAGATCTGTTGGTCCCGCCAGGAGGGGCAATGGTGAGAAGTCAAATAGACGGGCTTAGGGAAGTCGTTAAGGCCTTGGTCTCCCCGAAGAACCAAGACGTTGGAGGCATATTTGACAGGCTTAGATTCCGTTTTGATTCAGAATCAAACTGATGTCGTAAAGCTTTCAGAAGGCAGTATAGCGAATAGCTTTGACTTCAGAGGGGTGAAGGATTAATTAAGATATAAAAAGTGCCAACTATAAAGAAAGAATTTCTCTGTTCATCAAAATGCCCTGAAGAGAGGGGAAAAGTAAGCCACAGAGAGAAGAGATTTGTAACATATAAATCTGTGGCGTAAGGCCTAAAGTTCAGGTTCAAACTGATGTGCTGCCTTGGCATCTGAGTACCTCAAACAGCCTAACTGCAAATTTTCCTCCCCACACAGCCTCATGGGTAAGGTCCTCTGGCTAAACAACCCTTTTTTTTTTTTGAGTTGGAGTCTCACTCCGTCGCCCAGACTGGAGTGCAGCGGCCGCTCCCAGCCACCGCAGCCTCGACCCGCTGGGCTCCAGCGATCCTTCCACCTCAGCCTTCCGAGGAGCCAGAATTACAGGCACGTGCTACTATGCCCGACTGATTTTTTGACTTATTGTAGAGATGAGGTCTTGCCAAGTTGCCCAGGCGGGTCTCGAACCCGCGGGCTCAGGCCATCCACTCACCTCAGCCTCCCAAAGCACGGGATTACAGGTTGAGCCACCGAGCCTGGTTTAAACAACCCTTTTTATCAAGGGGACCAGGCACAGCTCCTGCTCATTCCTGAGTAGCAGGTTTCTGCTCATGGAATTATTCCAACAAGCCCATCATCACATCCTCCTATGGAAACCAGGGAGTACCTCACCCTCTTGTTACTGCAAAGCTGGCCCCCCTCAGCCCCTGCTGGTTTACTCTATTCCCTGTGTGGCCCTGTGTGATGTGCATGTCCCCTCCCCTGGGCTGTGAGTGCATGTGACTAACATACTGCTGCAGATCTCATCTGCCCAGTGTCAGGTGTTGAGTGTGCAGACATCCCCATTAACCAGGGTAGGGTGAATAAGCGACAATTATAAACCAATACCTGGCAAACAACTAG